CTTCTCTGCTACTGGGTATTAAACAAACGATGTACATAGTAATGATGAGCAAGAGTGCCTCTTCCGAAATTGTGAAGTTCATGGCCCCTGGTTCAGGGCTTCTGGTGTTAGGGTGGGGTTCTATTGATTATATAGTGAAAATGCATTAATTCTTTGAAAATCCTCTCCTCTGCTCCTGGGTATTAAATAAACTAAGTATATTGTTATGATGAGCAAGAGTGTCTCTTCCAAAATTTTGGATTTTCGGCCCCTGGGTCGGGGTTCTCGTGTTAGGGCGGGGCTCTATTAATTATGTAGTGAAAATGTATTTGTTTTGTTAAATAATACTGTCTAATCATTAGCGTTTAGCAGATAAACAAAGTGCATAGTTATGATGAATAAGGGTGCTTCTTACAAAATTTTTAAATCTTTGTGGTCCCAGGGTGAGGGGCTTTTGTGTTTCTCATTGGAAGGGGGGGGGGGTCTGTTGATAATATAGTGAAAATGTGTTCATTCTTTGAATATCTTCAATTAAGTTCAGAGTTATGATGATGAGGGTACCTCTTCCAAATTTGTGAAATTCATGAGCCTGGGTCATGGGATTTGTGATTAGGGTAGGGCTGTGTTGAATCTGTAGTCATGGTACATGTAGTGAAAATGTATTATTTTTTTTCAAATCTTCTCTGCTCCTTGGCATATCAAAGGCAAACGAAGCAAAAGTTTTAATAAGCAAGGATATTGTTACCAGATTTTTTTAAACATGGGACTATTTGGTCAAGTGTTCTGGTCTTGGCCAGGGCTCTATTAATTTGTATTCTACTGAGAGAAGTTTTTCCCCTTTGCAGGGATGGGCACGATTACTTGAAAATGTAATCGATTAATAATCGATTACTTAGAGAAATTTTGTGTAATCGATTATTAATCAATTACAGTCATTTTTGTCCTGTAATCGATTACTTAGGGAGATATAATCGATTAATAATCGATTACTTCCAAGCATTTTTTCCTCAAGTATAAAACCAGAAAAATATTCAAATGGAATGATATCCACTGAAGTTTGAATATATTCATTGTGTTAAGTTTCAGTGCATAAGGTTTTTACTGGTTTGATTTCATTCTTTTGACCTAAAATGCTGACAAAATACAGCTATGTTTTAATGAGGGATTCTCTACCATGAAGAGTGGAGACATGATTCCTACAGTAAAATGCTCCAAGGGATTCATTATTCCTTTCGACTTTTGTTGGAGAAATTGTTAAATATTTTGTTGTTCTTTTAAAAGTATTTGGACTGCTGCATATTGGCAGTACACATAATACATTCCTATACTTTCTTTAGAAAAAATAAATTAGAACTCTTAGTAATATACATTTGAATTAAATGTGCCTTTAATTAAGTAAAACTAACAGCAGCAATGACTTTCTGTGTTGAAACAAGTGTTTTGAGAGCTATTAATTGTTTTAATAATATTGTTTATCTTCATTGGAGCTATCAATTATAAGAGTCGAACATTATTTAGTTCACATCTCATTATCTGCAGTCAGGGATATCCCAACCAATTAGCCAAGATAAACATACACTAAGACCGCTCTCTTAAAATACAGATATAACTTCTCAGTGACAAAATACAGTTATGAATGAAAACATGTCAATGATTTGCAAATTTTGAAGTTAGTAAAAAATAACTTTGAAGTTGCTTGAACATTACCAGAAATGAATGAAGTATTTCCAGTTGTTCATTTACCACATAATAAAAGTTATTAACTGGTGGTTTGTACTTGATATTTACGTGGGACTATAACTAGAAACAGTTCTCCAAAACAACGATCATTTATGTATAAAGTAATCGATAGTAGTCGAAAAAGTAATTATAATTACACTGAAAATTTTACCTGTAATCTATTAAATTACGTTTACAAGAAATCGAAAATATCTTCGATTACAGATTACTGTCGATTACTTGAAAATAAGCAATCATTACAATCGATTATGATTACTCGATTACGATTACCCCATGCCTACCCCTTTGCAATTCACATTTGATAATTAATACTGTAAATAATGTATTTGAAAAGTTAATAGAATAAGAGAATTATGCAAAAAAAATTATTGTATGATACAAAAACTACTTTCATAGTTTTAATGATCAGATAGACTTGTAAATAATACAATAATAAAAATGAGACAAAAATAACTTATTAAACTGTTCTTCAAAGACGAAGAGGGGCCAATGTGAGAGATTACAATTTTGGATTAGAAATAATACAGAAGCACCAATAGTTTGTTAATAGTCTGCATGGTGATAGTGATAAACTGGGGACAGATTAGAACTTAATTTTAATATGAGCTGTTACTAAATATTAGACTAAAAATTTCATTGATCGTGATCATCCTATTTCTCTTGCTTTTGGGCAACAAAGCTTCATCTACCAGTTTATTTTATATTCTATGGATCCTGTAAGTTGTTGTATTATACTTTGGTGACCGTTAAGGCCCTTGGGTCTCTTGTTATTTTTCTATTTCTTTATTTCATGATTATATCTTTTAATTTCCTGTTTTACGATTCTTCACTATGGAATTCAATTCCTAAATTCGTTATTTTTTTTAAATGTTACCCCCTTGTTATTTGCAATGTTAACTTATATAAAGACGTTAAAACATAAAAATCAAGTTTAAAGATCAAGTCATACGAGGGTCGTTCAATAAATAATGCAAACGTCATCTAAAAATAGGAAAAGCATGTAAAGCAGATTCTTAATACTTTCAATCCCTCAAAGGATTCCCTGTTAACATTTACACATGTCTAAAGTATTTGTACCCATGACCAGAAAACCTCAGCATACTCATCTTTAGGGATGCCTTAAAGACACTGCTGAATAGCACTTTCCATGATATACCTGAAATTATAAAATCTTCCTCTGATTGCTTTTATATGTTTTCGGAAGGAAAAGATCTCACAATTGCTGAGATCTACATGTACCTAATATGGGAGATGCCCAAGCTCTGTAAACTTTCCTTTCTTCAATATTTATTTCTCTATGCTTATTTGCAGCAACCTTTTCAGGTGAAGAAAAAATACTCCGGGGACCGGTATTTGGGCTTGCTTTGCAGGAAATGTGCTTAAATTTCCTGGGTGAAATTTTAACATAAAAGTTACCATTGATAGTCCTTCCTTTGTTGTATCTACATGTTTTACTGGACCTCTTGAAGAGAAAATTAATAAAACGTATTTGGAGCCCTTGCTTCTCTTTGCAATAATAGGACGACAGCTTTCTCTTTGATTCCACATTTTATTCTTGATCTTCCTTTTCGGCTATAAAAAGTACACAAATGTTTCGTCATCCATCACTCAAGTTTATCAAATCTTCTTTTTTGTAAAAATGTTAATTTTTAAATAGAAATTGGCACATTTAACGTGTGTTTTCTCTTAGGCATTTGTAAAGAAATAAGGCACCTATCTGATAGAATCATTGTTAGATTTATTTCATTTGTTACAACTCTATAAACTTTTATGACAATGAAATGTTCTGTGTTTTAGCAAAGTCTATCAACGGAAATTTGGCATTTTCAGATATCATGTTGCTCACAGCATCCATATTTTTGGTGCCCCTACAGATTTCGATCGATCACTTTGACTGCGATCCTTTAACTGTACTTTTTTTTTCTTTTAAATTTCCGAATCCATCTGAAAACTATACAGCGTGAAAGACTAGTCTTTCCACATATCAAAATCATATCTTTAATATGGGTCATTCAGCTATTTATGTAAGGAAGCAAAGTTTTCACATACGCCCTCATTTTCATCTTCTTGGCAGAGATCATTTTTAAACAGTTTTCAGCTCAGTGTAGTGACCATGCTTACTTTAAATGTGAATTCCTTTACGACAACAAATGGAAAAAGCATGGGGTTTTCTGTGATTAGGAGTTCTTTCATAGAACTTTTTAACTGTTAAAAAATAAATTTAAATACTTATACATTTATTATGATAACCTGTATGTTGCATTACTTATTGAGTGACCCTCGTATATTATGAGTCTAAATTTTTATTGTTAGTTGATCACGATTATATTCATGTGAAGAATTGATATATATACATATTACAATTCATTTTTAATGATCTTTGTGTTGTCAATTTGATCCCAATTGTAGTATTTTTCACTTAACATCCAGCATACTTGTTTAACTATAAGGACCCCATTGGAAATAAGTCCTTGGCTTTCATGGGTTATTAATAGGGGACCAGCCTTGCAATGAATATTTATAGTCTAAATTAAAAGTAAAAATTTACGCCCAGGAAAAAAGTTTAGGGGGAGCCCCCCCCCCCCTACAACCACCCCACCCCAGATTATATATTCCCTAATATTATGTTCACCTGAGTGAAAGTCGGTAGCAAGTGAAATAGCTTTCCAAAACAATTTGTATCAATTTGGAATTTCTAGATCTATTTTTTTAACCAATGTAGAGAAATATAAATACCTTTATTCACCTGAAAGGTCGCGTGAAGGTGAATATAACGTAGTATTTTTTCTACAGTGTTGGATCTCAGATATCCGAGAGATGGGAATTTTTCAATCAAGTTATAATGAAAATTAAATAGATAAGCTCAATATCTACACCTTAAAACAATAATTTTTTCTCAATGTCCAAAAAAAAAAAATTTTGTACTGGTGTAGAGAGGGTCCTTAAAAACAAAAGTAATTTTTGTATGAAATAACACATTTTTTAAGCATGGCAGTTCAAAAGCGTATAACTTGGAGAATAACGTAATTTAATACAAAGCGAAACAATAAGGCAAAAGGCGGAAAGGTAGGCAGGTCTAAAGTTACAATCAATTCAGGAGAATTCATATTAAATGAAACAAAATCTACATTTAAGCAATTGTGAAATACAGAATACGTAATAGTTAGCCAATCACTTTACAGTTATTATTTAAGATTTTAATATTTATATTTGACGGCCGAAAGACCACTTTGCAAATTCTTACAGGAACGCAGCAGTAAGTTTTAAACACAAAGTACGACATGGCCAATCTCGGGGTTTCCCGTTTATTTGTTATCTTCTCGGTGGCTCAAGCTACCCTTATTTCGCGGGGATATATTGCAAAACTGGAACTTGATGATAAAAAATCAAATAACAAACTTTTAGGTGAGTACAACTCACAGTCATTGATCGAGTGTGCTGCGATGTGTGTAAAAGAGTGTGGATTCTTTGGCTACCATGGCGAATTGAAGAAGTGCCGTGTCCACAAGAAGATCTTCACGTTTGGACTGTCTGATGAGGCCGGGTGGAGATACTATTTGCATGATTGTATGCATTCTTGTTATTTCTATTTCATATTGACACATGTGAATATAAATATATATAAGAAAACTTTAAGTTTTACAATATACATGTATTTTAAAGCCACGCCGAATGAATCATTTCGCTGTAAGCCTCAATTTGTTATAAGCATGTTCGCTGTAGGTGTTTTCCGGTATATACATGTACGCTTCTTAGGTTTTTTTTACTACACTCGAGTTTTATGAATATATAAAATGCATAATCTTTTTTCCTTAGTTATTTCAAGAACACTATTTTTCTATTCGGTGTCGGCAACTGTGTTGTCCCTGTTATTGATTTTAAAGAATATTTCTGTCTCTATTGATTTTTCCCTTCATTTTGATTTTGCATGGTACTAAAAATGTTCTTTGATGCATCATATAATGCATTTCCAAATATTTTTTTTTTGTTTTGGCTTTGATCAAAATGCTAAAAATTATACTGTATATGATTTAAACTAATAAAACAGATACAAATTTAATTCATATACAGTTTACACGGTGACAATACAGTAATGGTATTTATTTTCAGCTAAATGACATTGTACCAATTTGTACCATAAGAATATTGTAGTTTGTATATGACTTGAAATTCATAATTGCAGTTCGAATATGCGATCTTACAAATAACTGTTCGTTGCCCACATTCGTTTAATGAATCTATTAACGAAGCATTAGCTGTAATTTTTTTTTTCTGTTTTAGATTTCCCCTTTGATTGTAAGGACCTCCATGAAGATAGTCACACTAATTCAGGGGTGTATGAAATCTATCCCGATGGTACCAGCTCCCGTTCTCTCTCAGTTTATTGCGATATGGAAACAATGGACGGAGGGTGGACGGTATCTATTTTCATTAACAAGTTTAGAAATCATCCTATGTCCTTTAAATGTAATGTTGGTGATCAAGGGTTTTGTATAAGACAGAGGCATACATATTCTGAGTCTATATTAATTACACACTAATTATACACGTTTGACAGATTAATTATTGAATAAATGAATATATATTCTTAAGGCAATCCAGAAACGTGTAAATGGATCTCTGAGCTTTGACAGGGATTGGACTGGATATAAGAATGGTTTTGGTTCACCGGTACAGGATGGCTGGATCGGTACTTTATATCTCGTTACAATCGGACCTTTGATTTATTCTCTGTATTTGACAAACGATATTTGTACCGACACATCAATTTTGACAAAGATTTCAAAAAGACCTAAAAAAAAAATGATACGTATTCAGCGATATTCATTGAATTCATCAATCATTATGAATAGATTCAAGCAAAAAACAAGTGGGAGAAAGATATATAAATCATTTATTGTATTCACCATACTTATAAGTTTGATGGAATTACAAAAAATAACAGAAATGTTAATATATTACAAGTTTTAAAGCATGATTCAGAGATAAATAGTTTCAGTATATAAATTGATCCTTTATAAGGGTATATTGAACAAATTAAAAAAAATCATTGAAACTCATTGTATTTCAATTTAACAACCAATTTTGAATGTTCCCTAATAAGGAAATGAAGTAATTCATCACCTAACAAAGGGGAAGAACTCGGCCCTCTATGTTTCTGTCACGCTGGTGAATGGTAGCAGATTGTACGAGTTGTACGAACAATTCTCCGTTTCCGATGAAGCAGCAAATTATCAACTCTTTCTTGCGGGGAACGTCACGGGGACCTTGGGTACGTGACAGGTAGTAAGCGTATCTTACAAAAGAAAAAGAGTGAAAGAGAAAGAGATCTGTTGACAAACAGGTGACAATATGTAAAATATTTACAATTCACATAAGTCTTTTGATAAGTGTCGTGGTCCCCCACTTACAGGATCTTCTAAGTTGATGTGGAATGGACCAATTGGTATCTGTCTTGTCTGTTCCATCTTGTCAGACCATCATGGTATGTGATCAGGTGCATATGTTACAGCCTCATTGTGACGTCACTTTCGAGCGAATTTTTCCGTGCATATTTTTAGTCGCTGTGCATTTACAGTCACTTCAAAACTTAATACTCTGCATTTTTGTGCAGAGTATATGTTTGAGTTTATAATCATTTTAATAAATTTGGTTTTGTATATTTTCTTCTACATTTTCATCATATTCTTAAACTGGAAAGCGCTTAAATAAGGGCATTATACATGTATGTGTTTTTTATTGTTTTGCTATACTGTATTTTTTTCTGTACATATGTTGGTACTTTTAATAAGTGAAAGTGATCAGTATGAGATATACTTCATTATTATTGACAATAAGAACTAAATGATCCGAATTCATCTGAATTAGGTGTCTCATATAATTCTACAGGTGACAGTATGTTGAACAGTGGAAGTTCTTACCGCGATCTGTCTGGTATGTACTTCACCACCCCAGACAGAGACAACGATAGAAATATTAACTGGCAAGGAGGTAACTGCGCCGCTGCACCAGGGTTCAGGGGAGGGTGGTGGTTTAAAGACTGTGCTTACGCCTTCCTCAATGGTGTATGGCCTCTGGTGCACTGGTTTCCTACATTTCCGCTCGAGGGGACTTCTGTGAGAGAGACGATGATGATGGTCAGACGTCACTAGGTACGTCATACGCTATATACATCTAATGTCGGTAGCATTTTTAACACGAGGGGGTTGGGGGATGTGAAAAAAGTTAAGATAATAAATACATTTAAGTTTTCTTTAATATGTATATTGTTTTTATTCTATAGATGAGGATAAATGAGGGCAGGAAAAGAGAAGCTACAGATCAGAAACGAAAAAAGTGGGGGGGGGGGGGAACTTTTCTCAGAAATAGATATATTTCGATTATTTTTTTTTTTAATTTTTGTATTGTGTGTGTGTGTTTTGTTTTAGAATTAACACCTTTTACTTATGATGGGATGTCACGTTCTGAATTAAATATTGGAAATCTTTGAAGTGTTATATTTTTCAGGGTTTTGGAGTTAATGTTTTTTTCCCTTAAAAGTACACTTTCGTAAGTCAATTTAGTCAAGGGTCATATCATATACAAGATTTGAATGCCATTATTCATCAGCAGTTGTGTAGCGTAGTGGTTAGCGCGTTAGTCTCAAAGAAAATGATACTCAGAATTTTATTGCTATTGTTCGAACACCAAGAATATCACATTACTTTTCTAATAACATAAAATTTTTGCCGAGAAAATTTTCTCTAGAAGCTTTTTTCAAATCATAATTTTCCTAAATTTCAAAACTCCTTCAACTGGCGTAGGAATTTCATAAATATTATGGCTTCTGTAGAGGACTACGCCAGGCGATGGGCCAGACATGAAAAAGAAGACCTTGACACTTTGTCAGAATGGATTAAATGTATCAGATGTATGTTAAAATCGCGCATAAAAAGATTGAGGGGCAATATGAGAACCATTTATCCTTCTGTATTCAATAATCCAGAAGTGAAAAAAGAATTAGATAGATTACATGATCAGTACGTACTGGTCCCTGCTGACAAAGCAGGTAACATCATTGTCTTTGTTTGTAAGGCTCATTATATTAAATGTATTTTAGAGGAACTTGGATTTAATTCTACAAGTGGTAATCCAACTTATACTCATAGTTCCCTTTCTAAGGAAGAAATTCTTCAAAATCATATGTCAGTTTTGAACATTTTTAATATTCCAAACAACCAAAATGAATTTGAATTACCATATTTATATTGGATTCCGAAACTTCATGAAAATCCTTACAAACAAAGATACATAGCGGGTTCCAGCAAATGTTCAACCAAGCCTCTTTCTTTACTCCTCACTAAGATATTAACAGTAGTGAAGGAGAAACTTCAAGAGTACTGTGCAACAATATATTCCAGAAGTGGTGTAAATCAGATGTGGCTACTTAAAAATTCCAAGGGCCTTGATGGTCACCTGAGTATAATACAACAATTTAGAGGATCCATAGAGTATAAAATAAACTGATAAATGAAGTTTTGTTGCCCAAAAGCAAGAGAAATAGGATGATGAGGATCAACGACATAATTTGTCTATTGTGTTGTGACATAATCTTGGAGTTATCCCGAATTTTCATAACTTCTTGTATTTGGTTCTACTTTTATATCGAGCCCACATTTTCCCTTTATCATTGTTAACGTGGCTCGTAGCACCTTACCAACTTTGATTGTTTCGTTCTCTGCAACTTTGAAGCACAATGGAGTAATGAAATATGAAGATAACGAACAGTATTCAGGCTCAAAAGTCCATCAAACAATAAAAAATAGGAGCAGAGCAAACACGGACCTCCAAACATCAGAGGTGGGATCAGGTGACATGGAGGACTGAGCATCCCCTGCCGACCGGTCACACCCGCCGTGTGCTCCTTGTCATGATCGGGAAATAACGGAAAAATCCGTCGACAATTCAGTGTGTAAATAATGGCCTAACAATTTGTATTGAAAACGTCATTCAGCATTTGACTCAATGATAAATTGTATTTGCTGACAAGGTCATTGTATCGACCATAGAACTTACGAAATGATGACTTCAAACGAGACAGCTGATATTCTTGTTTCATCAACTTGTCAGTAATTTACCTCTTTTTAGAAATTGTACATACGTAGAGCATGCTCTTGCGTATCGAATCAACTGAGAGATATATACCCTATGCAGGTGATGAAAGTATATTGCTGCATAAGTAAGGGAAGTTGACGATCGAAAAGTTAAAGTCATCACGTTTATCATAAAGCTTGGTTGTTAGATTACCATTAACGTCTTTTTCAAGTAGAATATCCAAATATGAAACAGGTGTGTCAGACTCTGTGGTATCTTTTATCTCAAGCTCACAATGATTTATCGTATCGACATAAGAATGGAAATAGCCATTGTTAATTGACAATACGTCGTCGATATATCTAAATGTCGAGTTAAAGGCCACAGCAAGTGTTTTCTTCTTTTCACGTACAAGATTTTGGACAAATTCTGCTTCATATGAATACAAAAAAAGGTCTGCTTATAACGGGGCGCAATTGGTACCCATGGGAATTCCAATAGATTGTTGGAAGACCTGGTCTCCAAAAACCACATAAATATTGTCAATCAGAAACTCAAGCATCTTTTTAATGTCAACTTTAGAGTACTTGTGTGTACAATCAGAATGTTTTTTAACAAAATAATTTTGCAAATGACCAATGACAAGGTAAGTTAATTTACGAGTTCCATTTCTATTGAAAAAGCAGCTGAGGTAAAATCTTGTGATTTCAAATTTTCCAAAAGTTCCTTGGAATTTTTAAGTATCCACATCTGATTTACACCACTTCTGGAATATAATGTTGCACAGTACTCTTGAAGTTTCTCCTTCACTACTGTTAATATCTTAGTGAGGAGTAAAGAAAGAGGTTTGGTTGAACATTTGCTGGAACCCGCTATGTATCTTTGTTTGTAAGGATTTTTATGAAGTTTCGGAATCCAATATAAATATGGTAATTCAAATTCATTTTGGTTGTTTGGAATATTAAAAATGTTCAAAACTGACATATGATTTTGAAGAATTTCTTCCTTAGAAAGGGAACTATGAGTATAAGTTGGATTACCACTTGTAGAATTAAATCCAAGTTCCTCTAAAATACATTTAATATAATGAGCCTTACAAACAAAGACAATGTTGTTACCTGCTTTGTCAGCAGGGACCAGTACGTACTGATCATGTAATCTATCTAATTCTTTTTTCACTTCTGGATTATTGAATACAGAAGGATAAATGGTTCTCATATTGCCCCTTAATCTTTTTATGCGCGATTTTAACATACATCTGATACATTTAATCCATTCTGACAAAGTGTCAAGGTCTTCTTTTTCATGTCTGGCCCATCACCTGGCGTAGTCCTCTACAGAATCCATAATATTTATGAAATTCCGACGCCAGTTGAAGGATCGGGGTTCCCTATATTTAGGACCTTTTAAAATAAGTGATCTAAGGTCCTCATTATTAACTATATTTACGTCACCAGTAATGACGTGTCCAGCAGGACTATAGTTATAGGGTGAAGAAGAACATGAACACGACGGAGGATTATGTTTTAGATATTCGATATCCAGGCCCTGTAAAGTTTTCTTGTAATTAAAAAGTTTGGAAGCAATAGTCGATGTATATTTGTAGGAAATACAAGGTGTAGTCTTTAACTTGAAATATGGTGGAATACAAGACTGGACCCTTTTGTGATTAAGAATATTACTTATATTAACCGCGTCAATTCCTTTGTTGGCATATTGAAGTTTAAGGGAAAAACGGATTGTTTTAGCTGCATTTTCCTCAGTAAAACGTGGGGGTTTAAAAAGCCTATGATTTTCAATATCCATAATCACAGATCCGAGCCTATATTCTGGTGTCGAGGAATCAAAATATGGACTTTCCTTGACCTTTTCAAGAAGACTATTTAAAAGTTTCAAAGGGACAGAGTAAAGTTTGGTGCGAATATGATGTAGACCTAACTGTTGATTTACGTAAGGTAGTAATGAATCAAAAGAGACATCGTGTATCAAAGGTTTATTATAAGACCGATGCTCATGACTACGCTTACGTCTCTGTGTATGGTTAAAAAGTCCCATCACATTTACATTGTTACACTGTGGACTGGAAAGATTTCCAACACTATCGACATTGTCATTACACCCATAAGGAAAGGCTGTCCCTAGCTTTCTAATCCAAAATTCTTCTCGTTGTCTACGGAAAGGTGTACTCAGTGATGGGCTGTTTGTGTGGTGGTAAATCTTGTCTAGAATTCTAACTTTCAATGACAAAATAGAATGATCAGGTAAATTAAAATGCTTGTATAAAAGTTGCTGACACCCATTATTTATCTGAAATCTATCACCTGAAATTCTTTTATTGAGTGATCCCTTGGTTTCACCAACATAAACAAGTCCACAAAGACTACATTCTATTCCGTAGACAACATTTGAGGATTTGCAGTTCAGATTTTCCCAAGTTTTGGTACAGAAGCTCTGTCCAGTAAGATTACTGGTGAAAGAAGTGTTAGTTATCAAAATGTCACATGTTTTACAATTTTTCGCAGAACATTTTGAAATAGAAGACATGGGATCGGAAAAGGAATCCTCGAATATATCTCTAATAGAAACCTTACATTCTTTCAATTTTTTGTATGAATTATTGCTTTTATACCAAAACTGGGAATCTGAAGACTGTAGATATGACATATGTTTAATATCCCTGAGGATTATCCGAGGGGCACCGAATCAACTCCTTGAGTCTGTGTCCCTTTTAGACTCAAAAGAGTGACGCCTTTTTATACTGGGCGACGCGCCTGCCAGTATCATTTCGTTATTCTGTATACTCATGAATGAATAGGTACCGAACGACAAGTATCCTCGGGGACAGACTGTCCACCAGCAGCGATACATGTTCGGTGGTTAAAATGAAATATATGAAGATAACGAACAGTATTCAGGCTCAAAAGTCCATCAAACAATACAAAATAGGAGCTGAGCAAACACGGACCTCCAAACATCAGAGGTGGGATCAGGTGCCATGGACGAGTGAGCATCCCCTGCCGACCGGTCACACCCGCCGTGTGCTCCTTGTCATGATCGGGAAATAACGGAAAAATCCGTCGACAATTCAGTGTGTAAATAATGGCCTAACAATTTGTATGAAAAACGTCAGTCAGCATTTGACTCAATGATAAATTGTATTTGCTGACAAGGTCATTGTATCGATCATAGAACTTACGAAATGATGACTTCAAACGAGACAGCTGATATTCTTGTTTCATCAACTTGTTTGTCAATAATTTACCTCGTTCTAGAAATTGTACATACGTAGAGCATGCTCTTGCGTATCGAATCAACTGAGAGATATATACCCCGTATGCAGGTGATGAAGGTATATTGCTGCATAAGTAAGGGAAGTTGACGATTGAAAAGTTAAAGTCATCACGTTTATCATAAAGCTTGGATGTTAGATTACCATTAACGTCTTTTTCAAGTAAAATATCCAAATATGAAACAGATGTGTCAGACTCTGTGGTATCTTTTATCTCAAGTAAGTAATATTGTTTGTAATGCTCAATTTCCACTGTTGCATCTGTACGGTATATGATTTTGACATAAACTTGGAGTTATCCGGAATTTTCATAACTTGTTGTATTTGGTTCTACTTTTATATCGAGCCCACATTTTCCCTTTATCATTGTTTACGTGGTTCGTAGCACCTTATCAACTCTGATTGTTTCGTTGTCTGTAGCTTTGAAGCACAATGGAGTAAGTAATATTGTTTGTAATGCTCGATCTCCACTGTTGCATCTGTACGGTATATGATTTTGTATGCAATTTGGTCATTATTTGTGAACATCTAATTTACATTGTAGTGTGTGAAGTCTATTTTTGGATAACGTGCGAGTTGCACTTTTCATGATTTTTAAGACTTAAAGAAGTTTTGTGTCACAAGATATTGCATTTTGTATTGAAATGCACACATATATACCAAATATTTCAGTAATGTTTTTTCTAGTCAAGCAGTTTTATTTGCATGTTAAATGCAAACAATTTATGCCATTGTAAAGAGTGCAGGAAAACTTGATGGCATGCTATAAACCATTGATTGTATTAAGTACATGTACCTAAGTTTGATGGCATGTTGTAAAACATAGTTTGATCAAGATACATGTTCATACCCAAACAGAGAGTTACCTGTTGTGTGATAGTTCTAGTCATTTCACTCATTTGTCATGTTACGTTTATCCACTTCCGAGATAGCTTTGGATGTAATTTCATTTATTATTTTCTCTGTTCTTATTTGATTCATTGTAATATTTTCAGATCTAACTATATCCTCATGGAGAAATAAATGGTTGAACTTACTGCGACTTGCATTTTTATTGGACCAAGGCAATAAGGCAGTACAGTTAGATTCCATTTTAGCAGAATACAGCGAGGCCAGAGATGGGTACAGAAGACGAGGAACGGACTAGAAAATTAACAGAAAAAGGATCAGAACTATATAGTGAAAGGAGTTGTGCTCACAGAGACAAGACAGAGAAGGCATGGAATGAGGTTCAGAAGATTTTGGAAAATCTATGCGAAGCGGACGGCAGCACAGTGGACACCATGGAATCGGAACTCCGCAAGCGATACGACTGCTATGTATCTTTGCGCTCTGATTACATCGACTTTCTGAAAGGGACAAAAACTGAGGAGAGCAACAATGAGTTACGTGTTCTGGAACGATCAAGTGAAAACAGTGATCGAATATTTAAATCAGCTTTGACGCAAATCAAGATTATAAAAAAAATGCGGATGCGAGATCTACTGCAAATACCTTTGCTGGCTCTTCTGCATCACGGGGAACAAAGGTTCAAATTAAGTTAGAAGAAATAAAGACAAAGGTAAAATTGGCCGAAGAGGAAGCTGGTATCCAAAAACAGTTGACAGAAATTAGACACAAAAAGGAAGAGGAGAAGTTAAATGCAGAATTAAATGTTATCAATTTGAAAAAGGAAGCTGTTGAATTGGAAGCGGAGGCAAAGGCTTCATCTGTTGGAGAAGATCGGGACGACTCTCCTTCTCCTCCTCCTGTACGATTACCGGTGGAGAGAAGTCGTACTGAGCGATATGTTGCTGAACATTTTCATGATCCTATAGTTCATCCTTTACATTATGGATTCTCAAACTCGCCTTACATCTAATCTGACCACCGTGACCGAGATCCATTCCATCGTCATACACCAAGCAACGATAACCATGTGGCATCAGAGCTTACTTCTTTTCTTTTAAAGAAAGATCTTTTGATGACAAGACTTACTGTTTTTGATGAGAAGCCGGAACACTACTCTTCCTGGAAAGTGAATTTCAAAGACATCATAAATGATCTCAGAGTTAATCCTTCTGAGGAATTGGATTTGTTAATTCGCTGGCTAGGCCCAGATTCTGCAAGACACGCCAAAACTATAAGGACTTCAATAGGTTCTGATCCTAGATGGGGAGTAGCAAAAATTTGGGAGCTTCTAGATGAAAGGTTTGGTGCCCCTGAGATGGTCGAGTCTTCAATCAAAAACAAGCTTAACTCTTTTCCAAGGCTTGGGAATAAAGACAATAAGAAGTTATACGAGTTAGTAGATATCATGATCGAAACAGAAGCATTGATGGAAATCCACAGTATTCCATGCTGCTCTCGTATTTCAACTCATCATCTGGTGTATCTCCAATTATCAACAAACTGCCGTATATTCTTCAGGAAAAATTGATCATGAGAGCAGCCAACTATAAGAAGCAACATGATGTTCCATATCCGCCATTTTCCTTTGTATTAGACTTTGTCAAGGAAAAGAGCAAGATCCGCAACGATCCAGCATTTTTTCACACCTTTGAGACACACACCTCTAAACCAACTACTGGTTCATACGTGACTGGAAACCAGAAACCTGTTATTGCTAGGAAGACAGATGTCAAGGCTAATATTAGTAGCAGTCCAGACAAAATATGTCCAGTGCATATGAAAGAACACTCGCTGAATCAGTGCAGGGAATTCTTAAAATGGGATATTAGGAAACGTAGAGAGCTGTTGAAGCGAAGAGGCATTTGTTTTAAATGTTGCGCATCTACGACTCATTTGATGAGAGATTGTAGACAATCTGAGGAATGTGCCATATGCAAAAGCCAACAACACCCAACAGCGTTACATATGGAAGGAAGAAATGCTACTGTATTTGTTGTCAATCAAACATCAAAAGACAGTCCGAAAGTAACAATTGCTCATGGCGGGGAGAAAGCTAAAGATGTCGTTGCGTCATGCACCTCACTATGTGGAGAGGAGTTCAATGGTCGATCATGTTCAAAGATTGTGCTCGTAAAGGTGTATCTGGAAAGGGAACCTGAAAGGACTATCACAACGTACGCTCTTCTTGACGAGCATAGTAACAGGACTTTAACATTGTCGGAACTTTTGGATCAGCTTCCTGTAGAAGGTTCTCAGGCTGCTTACACACTGTCAACATGTGTAGGTACCAAACAGAAAACAGGCAGACGAGCTGTGGGGATTATGGTCAAATCAATGGATGGGATAAACCAACATACCTTGCCAACAGTAATTAAATATAACGACATTCCAAATAATATCTCAGAGATCCCTACCCCAGAAGTAGCGAGGGCACAATCTCATTTAAAACATATCACTAGTCATGGGCTGTGATTTGCTGGAAGTTCACCATGTTCAACATCAAATAACAGGTCCACGTGGAGCACCATTTGCTCAAAGATTGAGCTTGGGCTGGGTGATCGTGGGAGAAGTTTGTATTGACAAGTTCCATAGAGACAATGTCAATGTATTGAAAACCAACTTACTTGTGAATGGTAGGAGAACAATTTTCAACCCATGTGCCTCAAAACTCGTCTTGCGTGAGCAGCCAGTTGAATCTCCCATTGGAGAAAATCTCTGTTAGAACCCAACAGGATGAGAAAAAAGGAATGTCTTACGAAGATCGAAAGTTCACAGAGTTAATGGACTCAACATTCAGGAAGGACTCCTCTGGAGTATGGATGGCTCCCCTACCATTCAAATGTCAAAGGGCACGGCTTCCCAACAACAGGCTACAAGTATTGCAAAGAGCTTGACAACTAGAGTCGAATCTTAAAAAGAGTCCAGAGAAACTGAACCACTTTATTACCTTTATGGACAAGGTTTTCCGAAGTCACGCTGCAGAAAAGGCTCCTGATCTACAGGATGATGAGAAGGAGAGATGGTATTTACCAATTTTTGGGGTATATCATCCAAAGAAACCCAACCAGATCAGGGGAATATTTGACTCCTCAGTAGTGTACAAGGGACTTTCTCTGAACAATGTGTTGCTAACGGGAACCAAATTTGACCAACAGTTTGTTGGACGTGCTGTTGCGTTTCAGAAAGGATGAATGTGTAAATACAGCGGATATAGAGCAAATGTTCTACAGATTCTTCGTCATACCTGAGCATCGAGACTCCTAATTCCCCAATGGTTGAATATCGTATGACAGTCCATGTTTTTGGTAATCGCCCGCCATAGCCACTTATGAACTGAGAAGAGCGGTACAAAAGGCTGACAATGATGTCAAAGAATTTGTTAATTGTGATTTCTATGTTGACGATGCACTGACGTCCACGTCTTCGCCTGAAGCAGCAGTGAGTTTATTGGAACGTACCAGGAGGAGTCTTGCAGAATGAAGGCCACATCCGACTACATAAAATTGCATCAAACAACAAGAATGTGATGTCTCAGTTTCCTAAGGAAGATCTTGGAAAGGATCTCAAGAACTTAGATTTGGGTGATGATGCATTGCCCTTACAACAGAGTCTAGGTCTATCTTGGAACCTGAATACGGACAGCTTTGTTTCAACTGCTCCTAAACTGAGTAGTTCATTCACAAGAAGAGGATTGCTTTCAGCAGTTAGCAGCAAGTTTGATCCTATAAGATTTTTGGCACCCTTTACAGTTTATGGAAGAATGTTATTGAGAGAGGCATGTCCACAAGGCTTCGACTGGGATGAACAACTTGAATCTGTTGGATGGATTCTGTATTCCTAGAATGTATGTACCGAGTTCGTACAGTCAGATGAAAGTACGGGAAGTGTTAATCTTTTCTGATGCTTCGGAGAAGGCTGTAGCTGCAGCTGCTTATCTCAAGACAACAGATGACCTCGGTAAACAGCAGTTGGAGTTCATTATGGTTAAATCCAAATTAGCACCTTCAGCTGGTAATAGTATACCTCGCTTAGAGCTTTGCGGGGCAGTCCTGGCGACAGAAATTGGGCAGTTCCTTGCAGAACAGCTTGAAATACTTACAACTAAGATGAAATATTTTGTTGATAGCAAGGTTGTCCTCGATTATATAAAGAAGGACACACGGAGATTTTATACCTATGTTAGCAATAGGGTAGCCAGGATTCGTCATGCCACTTCACCAGAACAATGGAATTATGTGCCTACCCACTTAAATCCTGCAGATGTTGCTACAAGGGATGTGTCACAGGACATTTTGACAGCCATACAAATATGGTTGAAAGGACCTGAGTATATCTTAAAGGGCATGGAAACATCAAGAGAAGAACCAGAGATATTTCCCCTCATTGAACCAGACTCTGATAAAGAAATCCGTCCAGTACAGGTGCTACAATTCACTGTCTCAACACACTACCACTAGATGAACAATTCTCGAAATTCTCAACATGGAAAGGGTTAGTTCATGCAATTGCCATCTTGAAACATAATGCACGCTGCCACAACAAAGAAAATGACTCATCTTGCGAAGGATGGCATTGGTGCCAGGAAGGAACAAGTCCAGCTGGACTTAGAGAGGCAGAAAAAATTTGTGATAAAAACCCTGCAACAAAAGCACTACTACAAGGAGATCAACAATCTAAGACTAGGGTTGTCACTCACCAAGGAAAGTCACATCATACCACTGTCTCCTTACTTGGATGAAGATGGTCTCCTGAGGGTTGGTGGCCGATTAAATCGTCTTCGAGATAGTCTAGGCCTCGCATCTACGAATCCTATCACCATTCCTAAGGGAGTTGTAGCAATGTTTCTTGTGAAGCATTTTCATGAAAAAACCTTTCACCAGGGCCGGAAATTTACTGAAGGGAAAATACATCTCATCTCTCATTGGGAAATGTGTTTTGTGTAAAAAGCTAAGAGGAAAAACGCTAGTACAAAAGATGTCCGATTTGCCAACAGATCGATTGGTTCCTGGACCACCCTTTACAGCAGTTGGCGTAGATACCTTTGGACCATGGAACGTCACCACACGCAGGGCACGAGGTGGAGCCGCTCAAAGTAAGCGCTGGGCAATTATTTTCACCTGTTTAACCCGTGCAGTGCATATCGAGCTTATTGAAGAAATGAGCAGCTCTAGTTTCATAAATGGCTTGAGGCGAGTCAATAGATCAGACCGAGGGACGAACTTCATGGGTGCAACGGATCAGATTGGTATTGACGCAATCAATGTGGAAGATGTTCAACTAAAGGCTCATGTAAACAATTCAGGATCAATCTGGACATTTAATGCTCCCCACTCCTCCCACATGGGAGGAGTGTGGGAAAGAATGATAGGCATTACTCGGAGAATTTTAGATGGAATACTAGTTCAACAGAAATCCAAAACCTTGACTCTTGAAATCCTGTCCACATTGATGGCAGAAGTCTCTGCTGTTATGAATTCCATACCAATCTCAACTATTTCACCTGACCCAGAGACACCCTTGATATTAAGCCCAAATATTCTCCTCACTCAAAAACAAGGTAATAATCCACCTATGTTGTCAGAACAATTTTCACTCAAGGATGTCTATAAAGCAGACTGGAAACATGTTCAAGTACTCTCTGATCTCTTTTGGAGGAAGTGGAAGGATACCTACTTGAATGAATTGCAAGAACGCAGAAAGTGGCACGACAAGAAACCAAATATAAAACCCAGTGATGTTGTCCTCATCAGGGATGCGAGCCTTGCTCGAAACAAGTGGCCCGTTGGAGTAGTGGAGGAAGCCATAAAGAGTGATGACCAGTTGGTTCGTAAGGCCGTTATCCGTGTACATTGTGATGGCAAAACTGTGTTGTATACTAGATCTATCAGTGAGCTTGTTTTGTTATTAGATGATTAGTTTAGAATACTTAGTAAGTGTAGGAGTATTAGTTGATTGTTATATCTTAAGATATAAGACAGGGAGTGTGTTGTTACATAATCTTGGAGTTATCCGGAATTTTCATAACTTGTATTTGGTTCTACTTTTATATCGAGCCCACATTTTCCCTTTATCATTGTTTACGTGGTTCGTAGCACCTTATCAACTCTGATTGTTTCGTTTTCTGCAGCTTTGAAGCACAATGGAGTAAGTAATATTGTTTGTAATGCTCAATTTCCACTGTTGCATCTGTACGGTATATGATTTTGTATGCAATTTGGTCATTATTTGTGAACATCTAGTTTACATTGTAGTGTGTGAAGTCTATTTTTGGATAACGTGCGAGTTGCACTTTTCATGATTTTTAAGACTTAAAGAAGTTTTGTGTCACAAGATATTGCATTTTGTATTGAAATGCACACATATAATATTATTCCAAATATTTCAGTAATGTTTTTTCTAGTCAAGCATTTTTATTGCATGTTAAATGCAAACAAATTATGCCATTGTAAGGAGTGCGGGAAAACTTGATGGCATGCTATATAAAACATTGATTGTATTAAGTACATGTACCTAAGTTTGATGGCATGTTGTAAAACATAGTTTAATCAAGATACATGTTCATACCTAAACAGAGAGTTACTTGTTGTGTGATAGTTCTAGTCATTTCACTCATTTGTCATGTTACGTTTATTCACTTCCTAGATAGCTTTGGATGTAATTTCATTTATTATTTTCTCTGTTCTTATTTGATTCATTGTAATATTTTCAGATCTAACCATATCTTCATGGAGAAATAAATGGTTGAACTTACTGAAACTTGCATTTTTATTGGACCAAGGCAATAAGGCAGTACATCTATTATTCAGTAACAACTCATAAAATAAGTTTAATATGTCCCCCGTTTATCACTATCACAATGCAGACTATTAACAAATTATTAGTGCTTCTGTACCCAATATTATTAACCGCTTGCACTGGTTTTGTTGGTCTTTGAAGAACATTTAATAAGTTATTTTTGTCTCATTTTTATTTATCTATTATTTACAAGTCTATCTGATCATTAAAACTATGAAAGTACTTTTTATATTATACAACAAAAATTCCTGCATAGTTCTCTTATTCTATTAACCTTTCAAATACATTATTTACAGTGATTAATTATCAAAAGTGAATGGCAAAGGGGAATAACTTCTCTCAGTAGAATACAAATTAATAGAACCCTGGTCAGGACCAGAAAACTTGACCAAATAGTCCAGATGTTCAAAACTCCGGTAAAATTACCCTTACTTATTAAAACGTTTTCTCTGTTTGCCTCCAATATGCAGAAGCAGAGAAGATTTACGAAGAAATAATGCTTTTCACTACAAATTTTACACAGACCTACCCTAACAACAGAACCCATGACCAAGGGTCAGGAAATTCACAAATTTGGAATAGCTACCCTAATCTTCATAACTATAGACTTGGTTTATCTGCTAAATACCCAGGGGTAGAAAAGTAGATTGCAAAGAAATAATGCACTTTCACTACATAATCAGTAGAGCCCCGCCCTTCAATGTCATTCTGGGCTTATTAACACTTTTTTAAGACTTCCTATATTATATTTAAAGTGTTCTGGGGATTATTTGAGATTATTATCTAGTAGTTTTCGACCAAAAAAAAAAAAAAAACCCAAAAAATAAGTTGTTATTTAAACCTAACCCTAGGTTTAAATATGTAACCCTAAGGTCTGAAAAGTGTAAAATGTAACATAATTCATTTGGGCTTATAAACGAACGGAGTTAGCGGGTTAAATATTGGGTTTAGGATTGTAGCTAAACCCCTCAATGGTTTGTTGCAAAACCTATTCTAACCCCATGCAAGAAAAAACGGCATAAAAATCGAATAAAAAAATTCATGTCTGGGGGTATACCCAACTCCAAATTTTTCTCAAGGTTTTGAAAATTCTTAACGTCTTATAGCATAAAATGCTTAAAAACCGGCCGATTTCCATGTTATAGATTTGGGTTTTCTTGGCTGTAGCTAACTTAATTTACGCGAAAAAAACGTTTTCTGAAAAATATCCCTTACCTTAACTTTTTAACTAAAATTTTGATTATGTTACATTTTACACTTTTTTGATCCTACCCCCCCCCCCCCCCCCCCGGGGCAATTTTAGAAAAACTCTTTGTGGCTTTTAAAACATTTAAAAATCTCAAATCTGCGGCATAATTTTTTGTGGCTATAAGCATCCCTTAAAAAAATAATAGGAGTTTGAAAAGTGTAAAATGTAACATAATTTTTATATCATATAAAGAGAGAATGGGCTTGGTCTGGGGTTAGCTCTAAATATAGGGGAAGTTCATAACCCTTCTTAGGGGACATTGTCTTGATGACAAACACAAACTGTAGCGTTTTCTAAGTTATATTTACAGTACTTTCTTTCGTTTGTAATGGATTTATTGTACAGAGAGGCGTGACAGTCGAGTCACGCCTCTCTGTACAATAAATCCATTACAAACGAAAGAAAGTTTCTGTAAATGTCTTGTGTTATGGTCATTTCCATAGTCACTCCTCAGCACTAATCTGCACACGACATTACGTCACAGGCCTTGGTCCATCGTTAGTGTACATGGTGTTCAAACAAAGCAGAAAGTACAAAGGAGATTGCATCATGCGATGTTAAACGAGTGTGCAATTGTATTTGATGGATTAATTTAAGCAGTATGAGTATTTCAAAAAACACAGTATACACAGGCACAATACTGAAGACTTTGATCCGCCCGCACTATGATCCGCTACATTACTGTTACTAGGAATACGATTGCATGTGCTGAGTAAATCTGAGTCAAGTACTGTAGCCACAAGTGTCAAAATTATGGAATGTAGAGTGAAAGAGTCCAAATACATGCATAAGCGAACATGTATCCGTTTGCATGTTACTCAAGGAACACATAAAACAGGTGCTATTAAGGGAATCATCGAACTGCGCGCGTTTTCAATATTGTCACATTTGAATTATCGTTTTAATTTGGATACATGAAATTCTGTATATTTTTTAAAAAAAAAAATGTTTAAAGCAGTTAACCTAGTTTCCATGTATTCCTCTTGAAAATGGTTCTCACGTATGCATTTTCAGATTGAAGGGAGGGGTTGAATTTTGTGAGGTTTCTCATGTTTCCTCTGTATAGGTTGTATAAACTTACAGAAATTGAAGAAAAAATATTCAAAAAGTATCGAGTTCTTTTGGAAGTTATTGTACAGTATATTGGAATTTATTGTACGGCTAAGCTCCGTCCCCTAGAATTTATAGTACGTTGGAATTCAGATTTCTATCGGATTTAAAGTATGGCTAACATCAAAAGAAAAAGTACCGCACCATGACACAAATGACCTTATGGCCTAATTTACTGAGTATGGACAGAAACCCAAAGTGTAAAATGTAACACAATTTTTTGTGACTTTTACTTTTAGGGCCCTATTCTCTTATAAATCAATTTTAACTGGATATTTTAGAAAAAATGACTTTTATTTAAGA